AGCGGAACGGTAGACATTTTTGCCCAACATCTCGCTCTTTTCCCTCTCCCTCTTCTCCGTCTTCTCGACTCTGGCATCTGTCTCGCAATCTTTTTCTTCTTGTTTTAAGAAGCACGAAGTCGGGCCATACTAACGCGGCGTCTTCTCGAGCGACTTCTCGTTTTCAGTGGATGACTCTCAGTTCCGGAAAGCCTATATTGCATTAGCCCACGACAACCTTCTCTGTCTCCCAACCTGTGTTGAATGACTCAAGACTACAAAAAACGGTGCCGAACGCCTGCAGTTTTACCCACTTCACCAGAATGGGCGCCGCCCCGCTTCGTCTTCTCATTCTATCAGCGCTATTAAGACCTGGTTGATCCATGCAGCAATCGCCCACCCACCCCCTCGCTGGTCGTCTCCAAGCCTAGCTAGTTCACATTACCACAACTCCCCAGCTCGTCCTGACCTGCTCGACGCCACCCCGGATCACACGGCAGCGGTCAACAATGACGCTCGTGTGATCGCAGTTTGAATGAAAGTGAAAGTCCAGCAAAAATCTAATGAAATTCAAGGAGATTCTTCAGGTGGATTACGGGTAGGAAACATAATTTTTGAGGCCTTTAGCCTCAAAATTGGTATTTTTTTAATGCCCTAGAACGCCTTCATTCGTGAGTTATTTAACGATATATAGTCAAAAATCTTAGTATGCGAGTGGCTTTGACATGACTTAATTGAATATTTTTGGTGTCAATTTTCCCGATATTTTAATTAGTTATTCTGCTATTCCGGGCGGAGATGAATCCAACAAATCAACAGATAAATTAACATTGTTCAGGCCTTTTAGAGTAATACGAGGGTTGCCTTTTATTTTAGGATTAGAGAACAAAAACAAATATTAATACTGGAAAATCAACTTTTATTGTTTTTCAAAATATTCCCCATAGAAGATCTATATACTTTGCATGCGTGTTGAACCAATTGTCGAAGCAACTTTTGCGCTCTGATTGAGGTATCTCCAAAACATACAAAATTCTGATGCAGCAAACCGCTTCTTTCAGGTGTCGAAAAAACGTTGACCTCTCAGTTTTTTACGTACGGGAATAAAAAAGGAAGTCATTTCGGTGCCAGTCAGGACTATAACGGCAGATGACTCATCAAATCGATGTTTTTGGGTGCTCAAAATGCAAGTTGTTTGAGCCGAATGTGTGAGAGCTCGCATTACGTGCTGTTGAAGGAATGATCCGTCTCGGCGGTTGGATTTCCTGATTTCTTGAAGACAGCTGGCAACAAATCGTTGTTACCCACTCAGATTGACTGTTTCTGCGTTGTTCTAGTGGTACGTGCGAACATGTCCAGTTTTTTCGAAAAAGACAGGCGACCATCTGTTTGAAAGTGCTTTAGTGCGCGGAACAACTTTTGTTGGATTTTGCAGCTCTTTGAAAAAACACCATACAGTCCAGTTTAACATTCGGCTCATACGCGTAAATCCACGATTCATCATCTGTCACGATGTCAGACGTGTTTCGAACCAGCACGCAGATCGTATTTTTTTAGCATTTCTTTCCGTCCAATCGACAACAAGCTTTTTTTTTTTTTTTTTGAGAAACTTGACAAAATTGTGTGGGATCTAATGCGAACAAATTTTTTTGACAGTCAAATGTTCATTGCCATATTGAATAGATGTGGGTCCCACTAATGCCTAAGTTGTTTCAATCTCACGATAGAGTCACATCGGGGCGATATCAGTTCACGCACAGCATTAGTGGTTTTTCGAAACAAACACCTATTTTGAACGACCTTACGCGAAATCGTCTTGGAGTAAACTGCGACCACGATTTGAATTCACCATATCAGCGATAAACACTGGTCCTTGATGGAGCCTTCATCGTCAAAAATTGAATTAAGTCATCCATGCACTGTTGCTGCGTAATCCACGTCGAAAGTTTTAAAATAATCGCTCGAAAAGTGTTCACCTATTGATTCAAGATTTGGGCCAAGATGAATCTTTTAAGTTACGTAAACAACACTAATAGCGCCGTATGTCAAAACCTTCTAAGTACGTATAACCTCAAAACATCCAAACTTTACGATAGAGCTGTCAGTTGACAGATTGCAACACCAGGGTTGCCAAATCCCGAAACATAAAAGGCAACCTTCGTAAATGGTATAACTTAGACAGCTTTATCATGTAGTGTACATGCGAATACACTAAGTAGTAAACGCAAGAGAAAAATAATGTAATGCTGCAGAAAATCAATATTGAGATTTCAGTGGAAATATTTTGGAGTCTCCTGATATCAAAAAAGTGCTGTGCTGCCTTTTTCCCAAACAATTCCCTGATCACTCTGGACTGACTCTAGGTCTTGAAACTGGAGACATTTCTTTGAATTGTGAGAGTACTTTGGACAAAGCCTCTGGGACATTTTTTAAAAATTTTCTCAAATATTGTATCTTTTTTAAAATTTAAATGACTCATAAGTATAAAGTGAAATACACTTATAAACATGGCATATGTCTAACTTTCAATGTTAACTTCAAATTTTCAAAAACTGCAAAAGTACAGTTTTCTCGAAAATGGGTCCCATTTTTTTCTTTTAATAAGGGATTTGGCAACCCTGGTGTTGAAGTTCATTGAACTCTCGAACCTTTTTCTGTGAAAATGAGCTTAAAACTGCGTGTTTTTAAAAAACGCCCAATTCCTGAAAATGACTAGAAGTTTCAATGGAAATTTCCTTATAAATCCAGATTTTACTCACCTTCTCATTTCAATTCTATTACGGGACCGAAAACTTCAGAAATCTTCAAATATTTTGTTTAGGTCCCAGTTGATGGCAGCTGGAAAGAAGGGGCAAAACCGAAAAGGTAGCACAGACCAAAGATATAAAGTAGTAGTGCTACAAATGGGACACACTTTCTTGTACTAGTTACCTTATCTCCTTTTTCTGAGCTGGCTTTTCGGTACAAAAGCCCTTATTGCCGGGCCCTGGTAAAGAAAACGTGGATAAACCTTGTTCCTATATGTAATAAATTAATTCGTTTAACTCATGAATTCAGAATTCACGTTTTGTGGATTCTTCATGCAGAAAATCCGATTGACAGCAAAATGTATGTCCGTCCGTATGTGCTCAACGGTAGCGCCTAACCGTCCGTTTTTCTCCAAAACTGACATACTCCAATCAGTCTGGCTGTTGTCACGGTCCCAATAATTTGAAACCGGTATTTTAATTTTGAGCGGTATTTTACATGAAGCCCCTGGAACAATTCTTGATTAATTTTTTGACGAATAGCCTAAAGGATTCTTACCTACAATTAAAATATTAAAGAAGGAG